TCAACGCGCCTCGGTTTGCAACAAGGAATTGGCCAGGGCTGCCCAATACACTCCGAAGATGCAGCCCCTCTTCGTCGAAGCAGTTCAAATTGCTCACGACATGCGCCGAGAGAACCGCGATCATTCCTGTGACCGTCCTCACTCATCTTCTGTTCTCGCCACCAACATACGAGGATTCGACTGGGGTGACCCAACTACCCGTCGGCACCCCACGGTTCGATCATGAGACCACCCTCCGGGGATGTCCAGCATGTGCGGACAACGTCAACATGCATTCCCGTTCACGCGGCAGGAACCCCAAACATTGTAGGTGTGACAGCAAGGAGGGTTACCATTGGGAATGTCCAAGCTGCAGAGAGAACTACGGCCAAGCTTAACCTGGTCACTGGAAGCTGCCCGACAACCACGGACAGGAACCTCCTGCTCCTGCCGAACCGGCAGCACCACCACCTGCGGCGGCAGCCGCACCCGAGGCACCAGCCGATCCACCACTTGCGCGGCTACGAGCGCCTAGACCTGGACCCAGAGCTGGACCAACAGCAGGCGCCAGCAGCCACGACATTACAGTAGGCAGACATGCTGCTGAACCGGCTGCGGAGCAGCCTGCCTCGAGCGGAGCCGGCAGCTTGGACGATCACAGACGACTACCACAGATCATAACTAGACGAAGTCGACAGCAAGGAGGAGATCCATTTCCACCATTACTTGCAGGTGACCCTGCTGCTCGTCCACGAATCCCAGACTGGTCAAGGTTCGATCTACAGAACCTACGCAGCCTTGACCCAAGCGTTGGAAAACGCGAGCTGCGGAAATTAAATTTACGGAGGTTCCACTCCAAAGAGCCTAAGACACGATTCATATTAATCAAGGCGGGTCTGGACAACGTCAGGCTTAACTTGATCAAGGGTGTCTGCGACACACGTCGGGAGTGCAGGGCTCGGGACAAGCCAGGGCATGCCGTTATGCCATCCACTGCACTACCTGGCAAGTGCCATGAAGAAGTTGAATGCGACTTAATGTCCTATAAGCAGGAACACAAGATATTTCACATCATTGACCGTTGCATTCGATATGCCACTGGAATCGAGATACCAGATTAAACGATGACCAGCTTCTTAGAAGCATACCATCAATGCTGGACGCAGTTCGGACTTGCCAAAGTACTCCTACTCCGACTTAACAACGACACCGCACAGGCAGTCCTGAAGGCAGGTGGCACGAAGCTGAGGATGCGCGCGCGTGGGCAACACGCTACGACAATCGAAGCCCGAAGTAGCATACTACGACATTTACTTCACGCCATGGAGGCTGAACTCAAAAGGTTAGACATACCTCGTCCACGCGACTGCTGCATGAAGCCTTTTTTGCCGCTAGTGTTTTCACTTGTGTTTAACGAGGTGTCTCCATGCAACGCCTTTGTTGGACGGCAACCAGCGACGCTGCCACGAACAGCAGACAGAGACATCCGATCACTCTTGAGAACAGATGATCCGCAGGGTATGCGTTCAGGCTATCACACAAGCCACTGCAGCAGCCAAAACCAATCGCGCACTACGGATCAAGACCACTCACTGGTCAGCACTACCACGGAGAAGGAGATGTGGTTGATTATCATCGTCCCACGACTACGAAGGATGACTGGGGAGGCTGGAGCGGCCCCTTCCTAGTCGCACGGAACGATCCCGACCGGGGCCAGGCGATGACCGAGTGGGGAACCGCGATGTACAAGCCCAATACGGCGACGCACGACATTCATTAGACAGAGAGGCTCTGATAGCCCGGGAGATTGGCTCGGACAACACTGCGCTACGGACGGTGTTGACATGTATAGCCGATCGACCCGCGGGGCGACCTGCGATGACATCTGGCTACATCCCGACCAAACATGGAACGCTTCAGATGACGAGCGCGAGCCGACTATGCCCTCAGGCGCATGTCGCACCGAGAACGTAGTCTCTGTCAGGCTAGCTAAGAGCACCCACAAGTTACATCGGGGGGCTTCTGCTGACAGTTGTACACTGGCGCACGATGACAACGACATGAATCCAGGCTTCCACTATCCCAAAGCCGAAGGCAATGCTTTGAATGTACATGATAAAACTGGATCAGCACACCCGAGGACCATCCAATGCCTAAAGAACACGAAACCTCAAGCGTGCTTCGACCAAGACATGACGAAGTTCGAGGAACTGGCAGACGCATCGACACAAGACAACGACGCCAGAGAAGCTCCAGAAGCCGAACCACCACAAGAAGACGGACAGCTTCCTACGACATGAGGAATCGGAAGCGGGTTTTGGGGCACAGATCATGAATTTGTGGCACACAGAACTACGGGGGGACAAGGGAACTCTTGGAGGCAGTTCCACCAGACGACCTCTACACTGTACCCACACAGATGATGACAGACAACAGTGCGCTGGTTACAGTAGCTAAAGAACAGCGGGGGCACCTGCCTACGTGGGGCCATCCACGCGACTCCGACATCACGCAGACATAGCATGTCTCATTAGGCTCCACGGGCGAAGACGATAGTTACGGATTGGACTCTGACGAAAACGGTCAATCTATAGAACTTTGGCTTACTGCAGCAATGTCAAGGGCAGTCCTATCCGAACAACAACATATGACATTATATTTCGACCGCGTGACCACCATGCGAGTGAATGCGACCGCTGCCGCAAAGTGAGCCGCGGTCGCCAGGGAGGACGACACCCTCAAGAAGGACGACATTCAGGCGAATCCAGTCAAGGCATCTCACGCCCTAAACACTGAACCCAAGACATGGTTTGACAACTAATGTTTCAAGACGCAAGAAATATCAACGGCGTCAAACATCATGACTTCGATATACGTATATAAGTGGAAGTTCGCAAAGAAGGAAAAGGGCGATATGGAACGGACCATTAGATTGCGCCTGGCACTTCCAGGTTTCATGGACCCCGAAGCCCTTGACGCGGAAGCTCCCTCAGGGGCGACACGGCGGTCAAGTCAGAGACTACTCGCAAGCACGACAGCGCGCAAGACGCAATGGACCATTGCCTCCCTCGACATCAACTTGGCTTTCCTGAAGGGACTGACCCATCAGGAAATTGCTGAAGCAACCGGTGAAAGGGAACGCGCGGCGTGCTTTACACTGCCACCTGGACCAGCATCCGCGCTTCGACCCCTCCCAGGATTCGAGCACTACGATGAGTCGAGGCACTACTTTCAGCGCCGCAAGCCAGGCACTGGCACCAAGGATGCACAAAGAGCCTTCTCACTGACGCCCACAAAGACGACAAGAGGATTTGGTCTCAGACCCACGCCCTACGAAGAGGAGTTCGAGACGAGCAACAACCTTCTCGCAGCCAAGCACGTTGATGATATCCATATGGCCGGCACTGAGGACACCGTCGACAGGTGCGTCAACAAGTGCGTTGAGGCTACTTTTGGTAAATGTAAACTCAACAAACATACATATACAAATTGCGATGTGGGATATGCAAAGGATAGGGACGGTAACGTTACACTGGATCAAGACGACAAGACGAATGTATAAAACAATTCCGTCCTATACAACATCCTTAACTCACTGGCAAAGACGCTGACGCCAAGGCATCAAATATGGCCACTGACATGTTTGTAAGCCTCAGAGGCGCTTTGGCATACGCATTAATCACGCAGGCCCGATTGATGGCATGCGATGTTCCCTTACAGCGCGTCCAAGAACCGACCAACATACAGGTGCGACGACCGAGCGCGATCACTGGGAAGTTGCAGGCCTGCCCTAAGAAGATCATCTATCGACCGATGACTCCAGCGGGCGAGGTCGACCTGCACAGCGGTTCCGGCGATCGACGCCTGAGTGGAGATGCTGATGACGAGGTCGAAGGCTATGGCATCCGCGGGGCAAACCTGCTACGGCGTGGAAACACACCTGCTGGTGAGCCGGTCGTCCATCTCATCGATGTGCACTGCGCGTCTGACCGCTTGCAGGTCCGCTCGAATTATTCACCAGACAATAGCAGCATCCCACAACTTGGAGGACTGCTATCCCACGATCGTCACTCTGCACGAACTTCACGCAGGGCCCCCGGCACCCACTCGGCCTGGGCATTAAGGTCACTTCGACCATAGATGCGGAATATGTCTTCGAGTCCTTGTCAAGCGAAGACCTGACGAGACCGACAGCGCACTCGTTTGGGACACATCAGTGGGATACGACAGATGATGGAGCGAGGTATCGCGCATAGTATACAGTGGTGTGACACTCGCGATATGACTGCGGACGGTCACACCAAATGGAGCATTGACAGAGGTCTGCTCTTACAGGTCACGGGAGGAACGCCATCCTTCAAGCGCGATTGAAAACCGCATGCTCCGTGCTGGGCTGGCCAGACAACATCGTCTGAGGCCGCGCGAGGAATATTCGCCTGCAGGGCGATCTGCTCGCAAGGCAACTTGCGTGCAAGGGCACTTGCGCGCGGTTCAACCTTCCCTTTGAACCCGCATGTTGCCGCCTTCCTTGTGTATATAGTATTTGCTGCATAGCGGGCGGCGGAGTCACGCATCGCCCCCCCCCCCCCCCCCCCCCCGACCCTAAAGGGAGCTGGGGCAAAGGCGAGAGATAGCGAGCGTTTGTCCGCGGCCGTTTGTACTCGAGCGGCCGGCCGCCAAGATATGACGGCGCCTTATCGCGAGGAACACCGCTCGCCAGTGAGACCGAAAACAGATTCGCCCGACATGGCCCTTCGCTCCCGCGACGATCTCTTACTTCTGGGACTATCGCTACTACGGTGCAACAGAGTTGGATATGGGCGTCGCCCTAGGCGAAGCTGCTGGTTGGGCCCCCCAACCCTTTTTCAATTAAGTCACGTTGGCTCAAGCCGCTCTGGCGCAAACCGTTTTAGTTGGGGGGCAATCGCTCTACAAGTCCGCAGGGCCCTCCCAGCATCTCTCGGCGCGACACCGCGCCTCGGCGGGCGGTGCTCGCGGCTGCTGTCCTTCTCGGCCGCGGCATGCTGACGTACGCTTTCGCGCCCTCTTCGCCGATGGCCATCCGTCCCGCGGCGCAGCCGCCTGCGGCGCTGGGAACGGCGCTGGCGCTTGACGACAGGATTGTCTTGCAGAGTGGGCGTTGCATTCTCCGCTGCGGTTCCAATGTCGCAACGGCTGAAGGGCAGAACTGCAGCAGCAGCAGCAAAAATCAGTCGCTGGAAATGTTGCATGACCCGTTGCACGTTTCGAATGCTCACCGCGTTGTTGGATGGAGCATCAAAGAGTGGTTGAAGTTCATAGGCCCTCACGGGGCGGGCGTCAAGTTCGCGTTCCAGGCGGTTTCTTCTGGTGCACGTTTGGACAAGATGCGCCCGTCATTGAAAGGCATGGACCCGAATCAGGCGCAACAGTGGCAAGGAGCCACTGCAGAGGCCAACCGGCACAACGTTGACACATTGAAGGTGTTACTTATGTTACAGATGTTTGTCATATTTCCTTTTTGAAATCTAAAGGCTGCCGCCTCTTGCTCCGACCCCAATTGAGCGCCGCATATTTGATTCGTTTTGTCGGGGTGCCTTTCCGAGCGCGGCAGGAAGGGTTCGGGTGACATCCAGTGGCCTTCGGCCAATCCCGCCACTGCGTCTGGCTTGCGGGCATGAAGCTTATTCGATGTTCGTTGAGATTTCGTGGGGGGGCCCTCACGGGAGCTTCTTGGGCGCAGTTCTGAGGCCTCTTGGGGGCAGTTTTGGAGCCTCGCGGGGTCGCTGTCGGGCCCCTTGCGGAGCCTTCTGGAGCCTCTCGGGGCCTCTTGGGGCCTCCTCGGGGCCTCTTGGGGCGGAACGCTCGGATTTTCTGTTCGTGGTCCTTCTCTTGGGCCACTTTTGGCGCCGCCATGGGGCCATCTTGGGCCGTCTCGGGTGCCTCCTGCGCCGTTTTGGGGCGCTCGAGGGCCGTCTTGGGGCCCTTTGGGGGGCCTCTTGATTCTAAAGTGAGCTGGGCGCACAGGTGAGTGGGAACGAGCGCGCGCCCGCGGCCGCTTGGCTGAAAGCGGCCAGCCGCCCAGAGCTGACTACACCTCAGCGCGAGGTGTACGATTTGCCATCGATACCAAAACTGCTTGATGGCTCGCCCCCCCCTACTGGGACTATCGTTACTACGGTACAACAGAGCGGCGGGAGCTAGGCTTCGCCGAAGGCGAAGCTGCTGGTTGGGTCTCCCAACCCCCTTCAAACTTCTTGAGCAGTCCTGGGGCGGCATTGAGGACCTCGGGCCTTCTGGGGGCGTCGGAAAGGAGACGAGACGAGAACGCCAAAATCGTTCAAACAACGAAGGCACATGCTTGCGCCTCTCAGGGCCCTCTTGGGAGGCAACTTCGAGGCCTCTTGAGGCATATTGGAGGCCTCTTGGGCCATCTTGAGGCCGCGTATGGCGTCTGAGATCTTTGGGCGTCTCGGGGCGTTTGGGGCCGTCGCGGGCCTCCGTGGGCCCCGCTGGCTTGTTTTGGGGTTGCCATCGTTCCGGAATAGTCGCGCGAGAAACCGCGAAAGGCCCCAGGAGAAGATTTCGCGATGCGGGGCTTTGGTTTCCGAACGATTTCTCAGGAGTGAGGGTTGAGGTCGAGAGAATGATGGTGAGAACTTGAAGGCGCGCCCACTCCGTGCCCAGAGGCACGGTGGCGGATCTACAGAACCATGATAATATGATGATCATGGTTCTGACGGGTCGCATCGCTCTTCCGAGTTCCAATAGGGCAGCCGCCGGGGGGCATTTCAATTGGTTTTTGGTTGGAATCGTGGGGGGTGGCAGGATTCGGGTTGTTAGCGGTCGGTAGATTGGGCGAGGCGGCAAACATTATCAAGGAGCAGCGATGACCCCATCCCCGAAGGGGAAAAATGGTGTTGGACAAGGAATCGCGATGGACATCTCCTGCCCTGAAGGCGGGGGGTGGGGGGATTTTGAGCTAGGAGACCCCATGCGAGAAGTTGTCCGGGTCGGTTTCGGCGAAGCCATCATCGTGATTTTGGGCTTTGAGGTGCCGCTTGTGAGGCGGTCCGGTCGGTCTCGCCTGAGACACCCCTGCAATTGTGGGCTTCGAGATGCCGCGAGAGAGATAGTCCAGCCCATTTCGCTTCGACATCCTCGCCGCTGTCCTGAGGCGGTCCAGCCCTTTTGGCTTGAGACATCCTCGCAGTTGTGGGCTTCGAGGCACGCGAGAGGCCCATCCATCATCTCCTCACGCACTCTCGCAACTCAGGGCCCATGGATGCCCTGACTTGAGCTGGTCCAGCCAGTTTCGCTTCACACTTCGTCACAACTCTGGGCTCGGATACGACCTGGCCTGAGGTCGTCCAGCCATCTTCGCCCAGCGCATCCTCGTTATTCTGGGTTCGTCGTTGCTCCTGCCTCACGGCATCCGATCCCGTTCCTCGCTGTTATGGGTTCGCAGTTGCCGTGGAGTGTTTGTGATATATAGTGTGTGTATGACACGCTCGTACGCCACTCGCCGCCGCTTGGCTCTTAGGGGCCCCTTTTGCCTTGGCTTGAAAACGTATCATCAATCACACTGGCAGCGGAGCTGCTACACGATCTTCGGCATCGTACCACTGCGCAGGGCTCGTCCTCTCGCGAGGAGAGCTCCTCACCTTTTCTTTGCACTGGGCATCCACCCTTACGAGGGGATTGCTTCCTTGCCGCCATGGCGCTGTCTTCCCTTCGCTATCGGTCGAACGCCGACGCGTTGACTCAGTCGGAGACGAAGGGTGGCTCCTACATCTATGATGGCACCGTGAACAACTTTCACGAATGGGAGTTCCGCACAGAGATGCGTATGAGTGCTGTTTTGTCTGCTGTAGATGCAGAGACAGGAGAACCCCAGGCACATGTTGTCACCGCAGCCGTCAACAAAGTTGTAGAAGGCCTCAGAGGCGACGCGTTCGATATGGCCATGGATATCGGTAAGGACGCGCTTCTGACTCCTAAAGGAATCGACCAGCTGATAACGGCGATTCGTGCTTCACTCTTCCCTATAGAGGTTCAGGAAGCCAAGATCCTGCTCCAGGTAGGTCAGAGGCCCTACGGCCCTCTGTCCAGGCAGAACGGTGAATCGATGGTATCATACATCTCCCGCAGGAAGCGTCGGTGGAAACTCGTCACCAAGTTGGACCCGAAGCTTGTGCTGAGTGACGACATGCTTGGATCCCTCCTCTTGGACCATGCAGGGCTTTCACCCTCGGAAAACCTGATGGTTCTGACATCCACAGGTAACGTGACCACCTGTGACAAGATCAAGGATGTCTTGATCCTCCAGCACGGCCGTATCCACATCCGCCAAAAGGGCAAAGGTGGAGACCCGTCGAGTAAGGGCTCCAACCCCTCGTCGTGGACACAGTATCGGCCCGGCTACCAGCAGGAGCAAGGGCAAGGGCAAGACCCGGCACAGCAGGCCGCCCCAGGCCTTCCACGCCACCGACGACGGTTGGTACGAGCAGGAGGAGCACTATCCAGAGGAGCTTAGTCCCTATGGATACTACGCGTCTGGCTACACTCCAGAGTACGGCTGGGACGACACGACTTGGACCGACATAGCCTGGATGGCAGACGGGCAGACGGAGGACCAAACTTGGGGCGACGAGGAATCGCACGCTCTCTGGTCACCCGTGCAGGAGGAGAGCGAGCTCGATGGAGACGAGTTTGACGAGATGGTCAAAGCGGGCTACACGGAGGACGAAGCTTCCGAAGTAATCCAAGAGAACTTGGTCGCCAACCTAGGCACCAAGGGAGGTCGTAAAGGTAAAAGCAAAGGCAAAGGTCACAACAACTAAACACCTTGGAGAACTACACTGCCGCCCAAGGGCGGTGGCAAGGGAGCACCGACCCTGGAAGATCGTAAAAAGCGACTCCAGGAGATCAAGAAACGTTCCAAGTGCAAGACCTGCCATGAGATTGGCCACTGGCCCGGGGGCCCGAGTGCAAGGGCAAACCCAGGACGGGCTTCGTAGCGTTCACTGGAGAGCGAGAGCTTCCGAGGAAAGCGACGATCATCAGTTCGCGCCTACAGGAACCATTGCCTTATCATCCACCATCCATCATCATACTTATAGTAGCAATATGTCGCATTCGGGCAAGGTTTCCTTTTGCTCTTCCTTCTCCCCTCACTCCTCGAAGTGTCGCAGGGCATGTTCTTGCGAGGGAAAGGATTGCGATGGCCATTGGTGCTTGCTGTCTGGTCATGACGAGGAGCACATGTGCAGGGGCTGCATGGGGACCGCTGCTGCTTTGGCCCAAACCAGCCCCGAGCGCGAGCGCGCGGCCGCGACTCTGGAGAGCCCCCAGACCTCAGCGGAGGCTGGCGAGGAGCACTTCGGGTTCATGGCCCTGCGTGCGCCTAGCAAGGCCGCGCCAGGCAGACCCTCGGCCTCGAGGGCTGCTGCCCCGAGCGCCGCCTCGAGGGCGACCGACGCCTCCGACGGGCCAGAGAACTTCTCGATGGCTTCTGTATCGGATGAGGAGTTCGAGACGCCAGATGTGGCCCCTGGTCCAGGGCACGATACGGTGTTCGCTACAGGCCAGCATCGTGGGCTTTCCTATGGCCGAGTGCTGAAGATGACCCCAGAATATGTACCGTGGAGCCGCGGTGTGAAGAAGCCGAGCTTGGAGCTGAAGAACTTCTTGATTTGGTTCGATGAGTATTTTGTCCAGAAGGAGGATGGTAGCATCGGCCGCCGCACCGAGGGGAGCGCCATGCCCTCGGCTAGCTCCAGCGGGACTTCGAGCAGGAAGCCGCCGGATCCGCCGCTGCCTCACCCCTGTGCTCGTGGTTGCACCAGCTTCTCGGGGTCGGGTTCATCGGCACGCTTTATCGTCCGCGCTTGCAGGGACTGCGGTCAAAAGACCAAGAAGGAGAGATACGAGGCACTACATCAGCCGGATGAGTGCCCTCACGATCTCGTGGACCACCGGGGTAGCACTGCCGACATTCATCGCACGTTCTGCTGCAAGTGCTTGACGTACATCGATGAACAGCCCCGTGCACTCGCTGAGGACAAGAAGAGCACGGCGGAGAAGGTCAAACTCTCTTCTAACCTCCAGGCGGAGGCGATCGAGAAGGTCATCGAGGGCGACCGCCGTGTATCTCCTGAGGAGCTGAAGGTTGTAACGAAGATGTTCACGAGGCGAGCTATGTCGATCTGTCAGGACACAGGTGATATCAGCACAAGTGAGATGGTTTCATTACTACACGACTGTGTGCAAGAGGCAGCAGGTAATGAGCTCATCGCGTTCATGGCACCAACACCAGCACCTCCAGTAACGACCGACACGTCGGCGATATCAAAGCTTCGTTTGGTTGACGTCTTCAAGGATGATGGTGCATGGGCTACCCTGGCCTCAATGCAGAGGACAAGTACGAGAAGCTAGGGTTCTTTCCACAATGGGTCCACAGAGAGCGGAAATCGCACAGTGGCATTGGTGGTCAGGCTGGCAGTTCCACGACGGGCAAGAAGTG